TTATTCAGTCATTAACGCTGTACAGAGGTCTTAAGAGTTGTTTACATGACGTCACAATGTAGCGCTAAATATCGCGTGCAAAACAAGACAATAATCATATTATTGCGTGCTGTACAATTGCAGTTGCGTAGCAAACAAAGGGGTTCGTAACCATTTTTCTTTGATAGTGAAATTAAATAAAAAAGGTTATTTTTTCGTTTTACTTAAAATATGGTATATATTTTCACTCAACATGACAAAATGCCACATATTTTCACTCGCCGTTCCGGCTCGTGAAAATATCTGGCATTTTATCATGTTTCGTGAAAATATATTCCATATTTAACTCAAACAAAAAAATATCCTCTAAATATTCTTTGGATTCACCTGGGAAATTATAAAAAAAATATTATAGTTTAGCTTATAGATCACAATTACTTTGCCAAATCATTAAAAAGAAAAACTATAAGAACCAAACGTCTGAAATAGCATTATTGGAACTTATCCGCAGTCAGCATTCATCTAACGAGTACAATATTATGAATATTTTCATGAACAGGAACTTTCTTTTGGTTTAAATAAAAAGCCATTCAAAGGTTAAAAAGGTCCATATCAAATCTTAATTTTATTAAAGTCTGACAATATTCAATATTGGTTTTAAAAAATAAAACTGAAAAATATTTTTAAGCTACAAGCAAGTTTCAATACAGGTTTGAAATTTTTCGATGGAAGGCAAACAATGAAGAACATGGTGTTGTAATTCTAATTGACTGAGTTGTTCAAATGAATATTTAAATGCACAAATAACAAATCAGTTGAAATTTGTGGGAAAACAAGTCCATTGGCTTTGTTTAAGGAAATGGGGTTATAATGTAGCCTGTATACGTAACTTTCAAATCACGTAAATCGGCCAATGACATGTGTTATCGCGTGATTAAAATCAATGGAAACCTTCCGCTACTTTTAGCTAATTTTTGTCATACATTTAATTTACGTAATAAAAAAACATTTCATTCTCTTTCCTATCCAATTGCTAAGTTCGAAACGGTTAACTTTATGAATATTACATTTCACCAGGATATGAATTAAGTTTTTTTTTCCTGCACATTTTCTTAAATGAAAACTTGAGACATGAACTGTATCATAAATCATACATAAGTATCTGTTTTGAAGTGCATTAAAATTTCCACAAGTGTTTTATTCATTTTCAGTTGTAAATTGTCGAGAAGTATTAAATGTCTCCAGGACAAATGTCACACATAAATTATGCATATACTCTTTACAGACAGCTTTATCAAATAAGTGACACTTAAGATTGTGGCACTCTTAAAAACTCAAGATAATATGATTATATTCATTTATCTCGTGACAGTAATTCTTAATGTCATAAATCGCGTTAAATGTTAATGGTATCTATTGAATTATAACCTCGTTCTGCTTTTGGTGAAATAAATAATTTACTTTTACATGCCTTATAATATAATAGTATCTTATTAATATAAGATGTACGTCAGTTAGCTTTTGGTCCTCTCTATTACTTGTACGGAAAATTACTTTGCCAGTGTAGAGAACGGTTGTTATACCAAATCTGGTATAATACCCAATCCGGTATAGTACCCAATCTGGTCACTACCAGATCTGGTATCTCATTATATTGTACCAAACCTGGTACTTGTATACTGAATCTGGTCATCTTTATGTACAATAATAAAAGACTTTAGGCATCCATGACTATGCACATTTACATAAATAGATCTATATAATATTCTAATTAAAAGAGTTTTAAGTTACAAAATGTCTTATGTGTTCACTTTATTATTGGTACTTGGGCCGTGTAAAACGAACCCCGAGTTAATGTGAGGCTGCAGACTGCCCTGGAAACATAAAGCAGGGGTCTGGGCACCACAATATTATAAAATATTCGGTGAAATAGAACTGTACTGAGAATTTAAGGATATATCTTATATTAAATAATGAGGTATGTAAGTAAATTAATCAACAATATCTCGCAATGTCGAATAAATCAAATACATGTACGATCTGAAGGAAGTCAAAGCCCAATATAATATTTCATGGAATCTTTGAAACGAAAGACAAAATGAGTATTGAGGGCATTGTGTTTATACATTTTTCTTTATTTTTTTCAATTTGCACAAACACAATACATGTGTCTATATAAGTAATAAATATTCTTTCTCTATTTAGTTGGTAATAAAAATATAAAAGGGTGCCTGTCATGTAAGCTAGAAGTAAAGTAAACAACGTTACGACTCAATTATATGATAAAAGGGTATTTACCCTTTTACGGCAAACAAATTTCTTAAAAATGTTAACGATGAGCGAATTAAATGTTTATTTGTACTACCGCATAACAAAAGTCACCGCCTAATCCATCGCTGAAAATAGCAATGTGTAATTAGCATATGTCAACAGCACAAATATAATAAAATCCGTAAGAGAACCTGAAAATTTATTCATTAAAAAATTTGCTTGCTATACAGTTCAAGAATTACAATAATGTAGTTCGTCATTTTTTTTTTTTTGGATCAATATCATCCTTTTAGAAGATTCAATGTATCAGTCTCATAAACCTGTTACAATGTTATTTCAATTCGTACATGCAACGTCCGACTATACAAGTATTACAACACATCGTATATAAAACTAAAATTAACCATACATCGAGAATTGGATTTACTTACAATCGGTTATTGAACTGTTCAATTATGTATGTCAGATATGTCAGATAAGTCATATTTAAAAAAAAACACCTCAAGATCACGGTGACCTTATTTTCGTTCCGTTTAAACTGCTCCTATATATTCAAAGATCTGGCAAGGTTAAATTCAATTCTATTATGTAGCTTTCATTTTGATATAGGTGTATATGAAACCCAGCAATCGCCTTAAATTGAATAACTAGAAATGTTTAACCTAAATATATATTAACATACTTACATGATTTACTTTCAAAAATATCTTTAAATATATATATAACTTTATCTCATAAAATATTTAAGGAATCCACTTTTATGAAAAGTTATTCTCGCTTAATCAAATTTCTTGGACAAATTATTCACAGATAACGTAAAATTTAAACAGAATAAACATCACTTCACCTATGCAATCTAAATATTCTACGTCTAGACTTACCGTATGGTTTGGTTTGTGATTTAATATAAAAACCTCTCAGTATTTATGCAGCAAATCTTTGACACAATGTACTCAATACGAATTGTCTTGTATATTTAAGAATTATTGCTGAAACTATATTTTAACGAAATAATGGCTGAAACATTAAATTATTTACTTCTGTGATCGCACACATTAGATATTTATTAAGTAAAAATGTACTGTTATCAAACTGGAGTTATGTCTTCAAACATAGTTATGTCTTTTAAATGTAAATTCATCATATAAGAATAATTTTTCTTTGTTTATTTATTACTTTGTTCCTTTGAAACAAAATACATAAAATTTGTTTAAGGTCTTTGTTATTTATCATTTTGTCTATGTTTGTTCTTTTGCAAAAGATACATAAAATCTGTTTAGGGTTTGCTGTTGAAAATGATTGTCATTTAAATCAGTGCCTTGTAAGTTTGTAATTCTGATTCAGATGTTCGTTGTATTCATTTTAATCACCAACTTAATAAGACTTACACAACTGGAGATTCATTTAAAATAAACGTTGATAATGCTCTAAACTTTATCACTTGATTGTCATTTTGACCAGGCATAAAAAATATAATTCCAACATATCAAAAGCTCTATTCTTATTGTCAGCTTTATTTTTCTGATAGGAAACTGCTGTATTACAAATTGGAATGCAATTAAGCGTAAGCATATATGCTTAAGATCAAATTGTACACTGGTTATCACCTTAAAAATAAACATTTGTTACTGCCTTTTATAAGGCCATCCGTCAATCCGACAAGACAACATTATCAATTTAGCTTTGTTGGGCATCTTTTTGAGTATTCATTCAACCTATTTTATTGACACATCACTGATATTTATTCCGTGCGCCAGTTGTTAAGAAGTGTATCTGTATATATTAAGTCATCTTTGTATATATATCCTTAAAATGGTTTAGTACGATGTTTTTTTTTTGTATGTGATATTAATTTCCTTATATTTGAATTTAATTTATGCTTGTTGTGTTTAGTTCTGCAATTACATAAATGACGAGCTACAACATGTTTAATAGTAACAAGCCATCTATTCGCTTGTTTATTGAAGTTACTTAATTGCTGGATGTGGACATAACACATATCAATAATTGAATCATCAATTCTTGACGAAAAAAAAATTGAAAGAACAATATTTTGACGCAGATATAAAAGTCAGTATATGTGATATTTAAATGTTAATCGTTCGCGATTTTCAATACAATTATTGTATTGTTGTACCGTAACAGAACAACACGCCTAATAAAGTTTATAGTATTAAGGTACATAATTTTATTAATTAGTATATTTTTTCGCTTTGTATCCGTATTCAATTACTGTTTGCCTTATAAAAACAATATTGACAATAAAGTATCAGTTAAAGAATAGGAGAAGGCAAAACACCTTTTTCTTGTCGATGTCATCAAAAGACTTTTGAAATTGTATAATGTGCCTGCAATCAGTCTCAAAATCTGAAAAATGGGAGATCTTATTGAAGGCATAGTCTTAAAGTTGTAATTGTAGACTCGGTTTGATTAGGAAAATGCTCTGTTTATGCGCAATAATGAAAAGTTCAACATTGTTTATGCCCCTTATACGGACTTCAGCTCAGCACAAGTCAGTGATATAAAACTCACAATGTATATCAATTTAACATTCTTTTTGATGGTTGTCAATTATAGATATTATTTATTAGATAGTCCAAAATACTTTCAGTATTCTTTGTATGAATAACCAGCCTTTGAAGTTGTCTTTCAAAACTGGTTATAAAACGTGTATCGGTAGAACTTACATATCTTTTGGAACTGTTGTTTTCCTTTAGCAATTATAGCAAACAGTAATGTCTTTTCACAAGCACTATTTCAGGTACAAATATGAACTTTGTGATATCAGTTTAAGTTTTACAGAACAGAAAAGAACATACGTTTTATTTAGACTTGTACATAGTACATCGTCATGCAAAAAGATAAATAAAACAATTATCACGTCACGTGATCATGGTAACACAAAGTACAATATGATACTTAGAAAATATAATAGAATGTACATTGTTTACAAAAATAATGTTATGAGTAATAAGTAAATATTGTCTCACTCATAGCAGTAATAGACATTCTACTGGCAACCTGACAGGATATTGTGAACCATATTTTACCCAGTGAGTCTAACCATCCCACTGAAAGTAAAACTCCCTTTTGCTATCTGCTTTTGTTCATAATATTACTTGATTCTGTTATTAAGAGTTACTATATTCAGGTGAGCGATATCAGGGCCATCATGACCCTGTTGTTTTTGTTAACCATTTGATTTTTTTCCAATATACCGTACATGTACTGTTTTTATCAGGACATAAGATGAAAATAAGACGCACTTTGGTTATGTTGGCATCTAGAGATGATACTATTCTTTAATCATGTTAACAAGGTGTAAATGTTTTTTTTTCTTTCCGACACGCGTTCTTAAATGACATTTGCATTTGTAAAATGCTTGTATATTTGCTATTTCCTTAACTTTTTTACAGCATTCGGGATATACAGATTGTTTTATTCATATATTTTTTACTTTACTCTTCATAACCTGAAAATCAAGATGAAATAAGCTGATATTTCAATAATGCTATTTTCACCTGTCACATTTTCGCCCATTGACCTGCAAATGAAATATTACAGATACACATGTAGTTATTGCATTCAACTTCGGGTGGGGTGAAAACTTATTTCCGTGTAATAATATTGTAAATTTGATCGCCATAAGATATGAAACAAACTGGAAATGCACGTGTAGCTTTTTTGGCCGTCTAAGTATAGACACACGGAATGTTTCTAAAAATGCCGAACACTACAACTTCTATGTAAGAACATTCTTATTGTCAGCTTTTTTTCTGAAATTTACAACAATTTTTTCTAACGTGATAACCAGGCTACTTTTATATACTTTACTGACAGCTAATTCGACATTATTGACGTTTCATTATTTTGCCTATTTTCAAAAGTATGAAATGAAATATAACTTCTTTGCTGTCGGCATAACAGTTGTGCCAGATAATGAATCATGAGTGCATATGTTACAATTACAGTAATATTATCATAACTATATAATATGCATCATTTAATATTAAACAAATTTGCATTTAGAACAAAAAGTACGTTACACGTTTTCAGACAGAATGTATTATTTGACACGACATTATCGCCTGCGATGTAGCATAATCTGTTTTACAATCAATCGTGTAAAACAAACAGGAGCGTTTCAAGAACTCGTGTCCATCGAAAAGTTGCTGCCACTATTGAACTTTTAAAATCGTCATAATAAATGACCTGGTGTATCGTAGTCGATAAATAGAGTAAGCGATCTTTATGATAATTTCAAGTTCAGAGCGAAGCCAGGAAATATATTTTTATGACAGTTATGACACAGACACTGCAAAACTGCAAACATATTGAACCATTTAGATCATGTGTATGCCTATATATGGTATTAATTTCAATTCAATATTTAAAATGTAATCAGAGATATATACATGCAAACACACTTTATGTTAACACATGAATCATTCATGCCTTCACCACCTGACACAAAATAATCTTATTCTATCGTTATTAAAAAAAGTTTCTTATTCATTTCTGCATGCTCATTTAACATAATCCTTGTTGCTGAAACCCGTTTTTATATTTTCAATAGACGTGTACAGACGAATCTCATTTTTCGATTTATCCAGTTGTTCGTATGTAGATTTACTACCTTTTTCTTTCTTTCGTAAACCTAGAAGTATTTCTTCGCTTGTTGCTCGACGTTGGTTTCCTATATAATTAATATTATGATTAAATACATATGTTAAATTATATGAAACATTTAAATACGTCATATACTGTTATAGTGATAATGTTTGCTTTTATCTCATTGTATAAAAGGGTCGTCCTGGAAGTTCTCACATTGTGGTTATGTTTACATACATTAACTATACTTTGATTATAGGAAATAAATACCAACAGCTTTTGAATAATAAAATTAAAAATAAATATGGGAAAAAAATGACAAAATGCGAATACTACCAAAAACAAATAGATATATGTCATTAATAGTCCTCCACGACGCTAAACAACTTTATACACTCTCAAAGTCCGGATGAAATATCGCCTTCTCAAACATTTACCAGTATTTATAATAGCAACACATTCGCGAGGTCTCTGAATACATTTGTTGAAAATGTACATGTTTTCTAATTCTAAAGGCTGACCCGCTATTCTATTGTCTTCCATATACCTCTTCTTATTAGATATCCCGGATCTCTCATGCCATTTACACACAAACATTTTCCGAGTTTAAATATATAAGTGATTGTTACACTTATGGCAAAATGTTTTTTTACAAAATATGATAAGAATGTTTCAACATTAGTTGTTTAAACTGACAGCCAAAAAGTGTTCCTAATAGAAAATGATTTTGTGCTATTTCAAGAACTCCAAAACAACCCTTGTTTATCATCAATTACAATGTGTTATTTCCATCATTGGCTTATTGATATTTTCAACATCAGAGTGTTACTGTTTATTTGGAAAAATGTGCACTTTTTAGGTACGCTACACAACAAGTGAAAGGAAAACAACACGTGACTCTAAAAAGCCTACTTTCGTAATCCAAATCATGTTTTAAGTTTTCAATCTGATATATCCAATTAAAGTATCCAACTACAACTAGTAACTTTTTAATTAAAATACTTTAATTGAAACAAAATGTATACCTAATTCTTGGGCACCACTTGTGCTGTGTCTTTTTCGTCTGAAATGAGACAGAGAGTAAAACGTTGTTTCAGACATAAATAGCAATGGTCGTGTTTTCTTAGATTTAACTTAAAAGTCAATTTAAATGATATCGAAGTGATTAAGTTTATATAACAAATAAAATGTGTATCAAAACAAGAACAACGACAAAAAAACAACAACAACAACAAAACAAAAAAGAATTACCTGATGCATTTAAAGGCAACAATTGACAAAATAAGCATAAGAACTGTAACAGCAAATGTGCCAACTCCGACAGCAATGAAGCTCGCTACATTTGTAGAGCCATTGTCATTATTTTCTGAATTACCTGAAGATGAGATACAAATATTTTTTTCTTTTTCTTTTGTATATCTTATATGTTTCATTATAATTAAATTATTATGGTTTTTACAATTTTAAATTTCAGAAACATATTACAATGAATACATTTAATTAATCAAATGTGTGGGATTTGCCAAAATTAATGATATAAATTGCGGTAAAGATAAATGTGCATAAATTGAAACCGTGTGTTAAATATCAAGAAATAAAGATAAAGAATACGGTTAGCATTCACCTGCGTTAATAAAGAATAGTTGTTCAAATGAGCCAAATATGTTGAATATTATCAATCTATAAGTTCCATAGCTTTCTTGCACAATTGCTTTTATATCAAGACCAAAGTTCAAGTCTGAACGATAAATGTTTATATTATTGGTCGGACGAATTTCTATCCAGACGTCACCATTGTATTTCTGCCATGAAACGTTATTTGGTTTTGGATATGCAATTGCAGTGAAATGAAGGGAAACAGATTCATGCAACGAAACAGTAATACTCTTTGTAACAGGATAGTTGGGATCAGGTCTCGGTGCACCTGTAAAAGAAAGTGTACTTTTTAAACAAACTCTTGTTTTCAAAGCTTAGCCAAGCCAATTAGTTTATGCTCTAAATGTCAGGTTACATATATATTTACTGAAATGTAAATTTTACAGAAAATCCAACTGATTTTAGATGGTCTTCGGCCTAAAAAAGGCTTATTCATTTCTTATGATGCATGCTAATATGCATTATGAAATGGTATTGCAATAAAGTATACGACTTTAAATACAGTTGTAAATTATATTATTTATCATTATCATTTATTAGAACTAGGGCTCGTATAACATTTCAAGTGCTTTGAATTTGTTTTACAACACACATATACTGTGCTGAAAGCAATTATTGTATCAAACACTTATGTTACCGTTCATTAAACACAAAGCGTTCGGAACTCGAAACCTCATTTAAATGATGAATTGTGAAAAAAGCCATCCTTTGCGATTATATGTACAACGTACATCACTGTAAAAAAGACCTGATTTTCAATCACTATTTGGTTACAATCTTGATTTAAACATTCGTCTGAATGAATTAAAATGAAATGATTGTGTTTTGAGGTTAATGAATAAAACAACTTCTTTATTAATGGTAGAAATAAAGGGCGATATCAAAGTTATAAATATGAATGAACAGGATATTGAGAAAATAAACCTGTAAATAAAAAAGTGTTTTGTATTGTTAAGGAATATACTGCTATAGGTTAAGTGCACCATTAACAAACCATGCTGATATCATTTATGACTTGCGCTATTTTTGTCACTTATTAATGTTGACTTGTCGGTTGTTTGATATTGTTTTGTTGAGCATTTACCTTGATTAAGGAAGTTACGTGTCGATATTTTATAAATTCTAGACTAATAAACTTGGGGTGATTTAGTGTGCACACGTGCTGGTTCCTGACCTAAGTCAGACAAATACATATTTCTGTACTCGCCTACTATTTATTTCAAAGTTGTTATGTGAAATCGGTATTTGTTTAATCCAAATGACTAATTGCGTGATTCTTCGGGTTTAATAATATGTGTAACATAAGATAATATTTTCAGCGCGGTACGGTTTTAAATTACAGACGACTAAACATGGCATATATCATTTATTGAATTCAAATATAGAACATGACCTGTAGAAAGATGAAATATGGACAGAATATGCCAACTCATATTGACAAGGGACATCGAGCCATTGAATATAACTATGTTGTGTTGATAGTGTTGAAGGATTTTTCAAACAATAAATAGTATAATAGCGCCGCGTTCCGAATGCTTTTGATCTGACTACATGAGGGTATACAAACTGTACGAGTGTATTGTTAACCAGAGGAATGTGACTAGCACAAACTTGTTTCGGTCTGTACTCTTTTACTTCCATCGCAACAACGCTTGTGGCATAAATTTTATTTTTATTGTTAGCCTAAAAAAACTTTCTTGTTTTGTATTCGACCCACATGGTGATTTAATTTCATTACTAAAAGTTTAAGACCAGATACTTTAAGTAATAGTGACGCAACGATGTTTTAATAAAGGCATGTGCTATTTGCCTAATCATGCATTTGTACAGACAAAGAAACATATAGAACGTTGACACTTGAATGAAGTTTTATAGCTTAATGCATCTGTCATTCTGGTTTAAACAATATTTTCATACCTGTTAGTTTAAATTTTCGGTCTGTCCCAATAAACATCGCGTCTGCATCAGTCTGATTGACCAAAACCTGAAAATAGTAATATTCTCCATCGGGATCTTCGTCAATGATCAAGCTACTGGTAACCTTGACTACCCCATTTCCTCCACAATGTCCATTTGTACAGTCGTCTTCCTCAGTTGATTCTAATGGTAGGATTTTCTCAAATAAAACTGGTGTATGTCCTTCCTATACAAATGTGAAATGAGTATAAAAAAAATATTGAAATATTCATACTAGCTTAAATAATCAAGTTGACAGAAATTCGCTATCATTTTGAGACCATCCTCTTAAGTTGTGATTTTTCTTGAAGAAGAACAACAACATCTTTCAAACAAGACCTATACCTTATTGAGTTGCATCTTAAATCAACTGTAAATGTGTAAAGTACTAAACAATATTTGGAAATAATGAAAGACAATTTACTACTTGTATATCTAATATCTTATCTCATATTTTAAAAATATGTACTTGTAATTACCTTAAAATAGTACCATGCAAAAGAAACACTTGTACTTGGCGAAAGACAGCCTGTCCTCACTTTTATAGTAGTTGACGATGAATCACTTGACGACGAGATTGTTGTAGTGCTGCCTTCTGGTATCACTGCCAAATTAGAAAATATAATTTATTAAATAAAGATATACCAATCGTTGTATTATATAAAGTGCTACCGCTATATCTGTCAACTTATAGTATGAATGGACGTGATGTAGGGTACAATAACACAAGAAACGGTGTATTTATGGATCGACTCAATGCAGTTAACACTTTTCAAAAGTGTTTTTCTTAATTTGAATATTCATTCCTCTGACACAGGTGTACAATTGGATTTTCCTGGCTCGACTGTTTCCTTAATTTAATTCTTAGATGAAGGAACGTCACGACCTGGCTGTACCCTCTACCGCGTTTGTCAAGTGCCTTGTTCTGTTCAAAGTTGGTTCGATTTGCTGTGTTTGTTAGGGGCCGCGTTCATTAAATTCTGTCGTGATCTTTGTTCTTGTTTTTTTTTTTCAAAAAAATAACGAATAACGCTTTTGATATGAGATATAATTTATTTTTCTTAGCTTGCAAACCTTCACTTGATTTTCAAGAAATTACAATGAAGAAAAGTTTTATTTACTTTTTATAAACTTATAATTATGATACATGTACACTAAGCAATAAATCAATCAAATTAATGGTACCTTACCTTTAATTCTTGCAGTAAAAGATGCAAACTCAGAGCCATCATCACACTTAAATTGTTTTAAATGGTCAGCATATATTATCTCATCCATTGATAGGTTAAATATGCCTTGGGTTATATCAAATGAAAATGTGTAATTTGATCCATAAGTGTTACATAAATTGTGTTTACATTCAAAAACAATTTGCTTGTTTATCTCCCATAAGAAGACAGGCGAGTTTGGTTTGATTCTACAGACGAGCACACATTGCCCGTTACACTTTAGACGTCCATCTGAAGCAATGTCGCCATATGCTGTTAACGAAATCGTCGCTTCCAAAACAACTAAAATAGGATTGTGTGAATGTTCAAAATTTAATGAAAACGTCAGTTAAATACAATTTTAAAAATCGAACTTAAACGATAACAAAAGAAAATTATTAATTAAAAACACTGAATAAAGAAAAGACACTTTCAAATGGTTTATATTATAATTTGAACTACTGAATGAAAAAAATACACTTTCAAATGGTTTATATTATAAAGGTTATCAAATGGTTTATATTATAAAGGTTATCAAGATATATAAAATGTAACAAGATGATCTATTGTTATATAAATGTTATGCATTATTGCAGCAATCTTGATTTATACATGTTATAGTAAATCATATTATTGGTGTCCGTAATTCGGCACTGATTTTATTAAATACGACACTTATCACTTATCTGCCTACGGAAAATAAAATAAAATGGTAACTGTAAGTAAAATACCTATTTTGAAATGGTTTAATGTTTTCGATATGGCATAAGACAGAAACTCAACTTACCTATTAACTGACACAAACATGCTATTACAATAAAATATATTATTCCGCTTCTGTTCACTCCCATCTTGAATCATCGGTAGGTTTTATTTGTTGCCTGATTTCCTTTACTATTTCCGTCCCACCTACCGGTATCTCAAAAGGTAAATCAAAGAAACAAAGTGGTATGCATTTGTGAATAATCTGAACTGTAGCTATTGAATGTTAAACAATCTAGTTAATTTGTATTTATATAACACATCTTTCGGCAGGTAATGTAGAATCACGACGCATTTAGAATATTCATAGCAAACAAGTACAATCTTGTATATCAATCAAGTATAATCTGTAAGTCGCATTTTTTTATTTCAAACATTTGTACACAAAAGTATCTTTCGGGAAGTAAATTAGAATTCTGACGCAATAAGAATATTTATAGCACACAAGTAGTGATAAATAATCTATAAGTCGCATATTTTATTTCAAACAGTTGTTCGCGAATATAATTTACAATGATTACTTCATACAGTCGACTCCGGTTATAACGAACTCAATGGGATATTAAAATATCGTTCGTTATATCCGAAGTTCGCTAAAAGCGAAGTAGCAACAACTTGCTGACTTGTTTGGCTTGAAAAAGCCATACTATTCACTGGTTACCGGTGTAACCGGTATTTTACTGCAGCGGTTATTTAATGCGGGGCATTTTATTGAGCAATATATTATGTACATGGTACATATATTTATTCATGTATTAATTGTCTATGAAGTTCTTACCATTTGTTTTCTTTTGCTATCTGTTTATTATCATTTGGTTAATATTGCAAACACAAAAAATCGATGACTTGGCAATTATCGGGTATTTACAGCAATCAACTGAGGGTGTGAAATACTAAATTTCCGTAGCAAGAAGGAAATTATGTTGTGAGAACATTTTTCAAAGTCTTTATTCCCTGAAGCCATAACTAACCTGTGCAATCATTCGATTGTTTAATTATCGGAAAGTATTATTCATGTACTGATCCTTATTGAGCGCATCCCGATATTTCAATTATAACAGTTTGTTATAACCGAGGAAATTTCAATGTTTTCCGTCATTTGGGGCTTGAAAAAATGGTTCGTTATAGCCGAAAATTCGCTATAAGCGAGTACGTATTAAGCGATGTGATTTAATATGAAATAAAGAAGGAATCGGCCGGCGATGTCAAATTTAGTTCGTTATTAACGATAATTCGTTATAAGCGTGTTCGTTATAAGTGGAGTCGACTGTAATATACAATGACGAAAAAGCATCAGATGCTAAAGCATACAATGCTTATAACGTATTTTCCTAAACTACACTGTTGAAATAAAAGCGATTAATGTTTGTTTTGTCAAGAGGTTTCAAAACAAAATTTGTATTGAGGTTTGTATATCCTGAATAAAAATTCGGAAACAAATATAATCATTTCATCCCTTGCTTAGATGTTATTCATATCTTAAGTAGGATTATCCTATCCTTAAATGTGTGTTTGTATTTGTGTTTTGTTTTTTTTTTAGTTTTTTTTTCCAAAATGCAATCTTCATACTTGACGTAAATGATAGCAGTATAACACTTAGAATTATTAATTATTAATTATTGATAATTCAGTCTCAAAGACTTGCTTGCTGTTTCGTATTAAAATAATTGTGTCAAAAACTTTCATTATCAGTGTATTTCAGAAGACCTATTTTAATCACCTAGCACAAATTTGAAAGTGATAATTTTGTTTGTTTATATGCTTGTGTTGTATTAATTATAAACGACACAAGTAGTTGCATATCGGCTTAGCAATATATTGAGGAAGTTCACTCACTCAAAAAATGAAATGAAAAAAAAGATTAATTAAATTAAAAACATCTCACACATACACACGCACACAAGCACACATGCACACACACACACGACATCACTGTTAGCTACATTCTCCATCCTTTGCTTCCTTCATCAAAACATTAAAACAGTTAATGGTCTGTCTCGTGGGAATGTTTAGGGGTTGTGCTTTGTCCCATAATCAACGCCAAAAGCGAATTATCTGCAATGCTAATGCAGCGTTAATTACTATCAAAGCGTCCGCCGTTCCATAAAGATTACTATTTTAAGTTAGACATTATTATTCAATACTGCTATTAACTTTGAAAGAAACCACAGAAAGTCTGGAAAAGATCTTCATGGCATGACTGTGGATAGTTATATGTTGGTTCAAAAATAACTATTCGTTAAACAAACAAAAAAAGAATTAAAACATGATAATATAATTAATTCGTGTCTCCATATCAATATACAGATATATCACACAGACATATTTTTTTGCAAAATTATAGACTCCCCATGACAGTACTTATCATAAACTGGTATGTCGTTCACAAATCTAGATAATGTATTTACATTCTTATCTATAATGGTAATCATCAAATACAAATGAAATACCTGTCGAACGTTTTATTCCAACGCCACAAATAAGTCGAATTTTAAAACGCCAGACGATCAATCGTTACAAAATTACATTTTTGATCACACGCTTTTAGTTAGCAATGTCATGCTTCATAATTTAAACTAAGTGGAATTAAACAAACCTCCATGAATGTGTATTGCTTTTTTTTTGTTAAATGAATAACATAGGCATGCATACATATATTTAATTTGCTAATCTAGTGACATATTACTACATGCCATGCAAGAATTACAATTATAATATCTTGATCTGGTATGAATTTATATACGTGAATGTATAAATATAAGAAAAGATCTGCAAAGGTTTATCAAAGTTCGGCTACCGACTTCATGTAGGGACGCTTTCAAGATATGTAAATAATAGAACAATTTTATACAGCTACATGTCTACAACAAGTAATATTCTTAGCAATAAGAGATTTGTTATATCAAAAAAAAAAAAGAATAAATCAACAAATTTCTCTAATAAATAGTCGAAAAGATTGATATTCAGCAGCTTTTATAAATTCTAGACCATTTTGAGGAACCCTGTGTTTACTGTGTCGCTAGAAGATGGACTCAAGTTAGGCTCTGATTTATGCAGGAATTCTTATCACGCAATCAGTTGTATGCAACCTAGGTGGGTAAGTTGCACATTCCAAACATAAAATATCTATGAAAGCATGATTTATATTCCTAAGAGCAATCACATGTGAATATAAATTCACTGATAAGGGCCTATATACTAAATACTAAAATTCGGTTAAGTCATAAAAATGAAACAAGGTGATCCCTTGGGAACATTAATCATAACAAAGTTACATGTTACATGAAAATTGAACACTCGGTTATATTGAGTCAGTACATGAGGGATAATGAAAATGTGCAACATCTGTCACCCCACCCCCTGCCTCCGCTTGGCAGGTACCAAATCTTCAACACTATAAAGTGCTTGAATCAATGTTTACGAAGGACCAGACAAATGTAACATAACTTAGTGAAATACGAGGCAACTTATTAAAACTGCCACACGGCACTTGACACCAGCTGATGTGAAGTATAAAAATCTGAAAGAAAGGTCAGTCAAGGTTATGGATAATGAAATATCTTGTTTTAATTTGAAGTTTCATTTGACATTTTATAACCTTTCAGATGTTGTATTCAAAAGAATGTACTCATTTTCAAAAGACCTTGATTCTATTATTCATTTAAACATTAGAACCGTTTATATTAATTTTAAATTCAAAAAGGTAGAATATTTCCTTTTCATTATCAAATAAACGATTGCTTTGTTCCAAATGAATACGTAACCGCCAATTAAGATAATAAAAAGGGGCGAGGCTTCTATTTACATGTATCATGTAAAACGTAAATTCTGTCAAATTAAAAAAAAAACATTCTAATTTTAAACAGCGATTGTTGTAGAAATGGGCATCTTTTGTTCAAAGAAATAATTCTTGAAAGCAAAAACCTCCGCCCCTGAAACTTAGAATTTGTAATGGCAGCAATTTTTCTTTCGACCCGAGGCTATTATGGTTGGTACATGTAATAGATACAACAGAATGTTATAAAATAACATTTTAACATCGATCCCAGAATATCCCTATAAATAACATACACTTTCTGCATTTTCCCTTGAAATGTCAAATTCAGAAATTTACCATTATTTCAGTTTTAATCAAAGGAAGATCAAACCGGCAATCAAACACAAGGGTCTCATTTTCTGAACGAAACGATTTGTTCCTCATTAATTTAATAATAATCTGGCGGGACAAAATAAACATTTACAAATTCTCCAAGAAACTTGTCTAGCCTGTTAGTTTTGTTTATTATATGACGTGGACAACGATGATGACATTTGCGGAAAAAATATAACGTCACTTTTTCAATTTGTTGCTTAATTTAGGGCTTTCTAATTTGTTCGTAATTGAAGAAAGAATAAAAATAATTAATCTCACATCATAATCTGACACTTGTAAGGATTTGAAATAAAATGAGAATATAAGCTATTAAGCAATAAGTGCTTCGGGTATTTAACTGTAAAAGAGAACAATTGTCAAGTCTGATTTTGTACATTTCCTTTGACTGTTACATCGTTTGGTGGCAGCATCAACATTTAACTTGTATTTTTTATTCTTATGTATATAATTTAGTATGATACGTATAGATAGTAATATCAGTTAATGTTTTGATTTGTTGATTGGGTTTTGAGTCGCCTCAAGTCAGTGTAGGACACATGGCGTATTTATAGCTTTTCTGGTGGAGAACATCAAGCGCACTTCCAAGCAGTATTTCAATCCAAAACGAGTAGCGACAATTTCAACGGTGTCGTAGGCTACGACGAACGTTAAAAAACAGCTCTTACCGGCCTGCGCCACATATGCGACAACAACTAGCCTACGACGTGTCGTAAAGCCTTGATAAAACGACCCCCTGAATCGTAAATGTTCCTTAAGCTAGACCAGTTAATGACGAAAACCAAATTTTACAAGTGACAAATATAAAGGACAAGTTTATTTGTACAAAAGAATCTTGACAAACTTGGCTGAGCAATAAACACCAATAAAGTTACTAAAAAATGAAATGTTGAAGCTAATAAGTCATTAAAACGGTGTTAAACATGTTATTTTCATGGAGGTTTTTATCGATTAAGAATTCAATAATTTTAATTCGAGTGCACTTTATTACAGCTTGTGTTGACATAATTTACAACTGGTGCTATTTTAACGCATTTACAGGATTTGCAAAACAGCTTTATGTTAGGCAGTACTTTATCCGCGAGTGATAATATCAAACGTGAAACGAAATTGTAAACATATAAATCGTTGTATTTCAAAGGAGAAGTATTTGAACAAACAAAGAAAAGAAATAAAGTACGTGCTGACATGACAGAAAAACTAAGACATTAAAATCAGTCTTGCTAATCCCTGTGTTGTTTTTTTTTCAAAAAGATAACAGAGTTTGGCAAACTCTCAACTACCTATATGATATTTGTAGTCTATTTTCATATTAGATTTATACAATTAAGAAAAGTGAATTGTTTCTCTTTCA